TACCGAAGACTTGGTGTTGACGACATTCCCATCTTCCCCCTCTTCTTCGTCTGATCCCCTCCTCCTCGTCTGTGTATGGTCTGGACCTGGCGCCTTCTTCCTGTGTGTAGCACCAGGCCCTTCCGACCTTGCGATGATGATGATGTATGTTTGGTCTGCATTGCGACATTGATTGGTTGGATCATTGGTATTTTAGCTTTCCGCTGCGCTATCTTGTACTATGTGAGAGAGGTCGGTTCGTGTTCTGGTCTGCACCGTTACGGTATGTGACAGGTACCGGCCTACCTGCTACTTGAGTGTTTTCCCGCTGCTCCAAGTGTCGCGGGCCTCTTTCCCCGCCAGTTGAGTGTTTTCCCTGCTACAACCCCCAATGCCACGGCCACAGGTAAGTACGGGCCCTTTGGGCCTTCCAGCGCGGACAAGTACCCTTGCGGGTGACACACACACTCAAACTGACGAGCACTCAGACAGGCATGCAGACCAGCAAGCACACACACACTCAGACTTAGAAAACTCAGCAACAAGCGGGAAACTCAGCAAGGCATGCATTCCATTGGCAAAACTCAGAAATCAGCTGTGTGTCTCAGTCCGTGTTTGGCAGGGCCTAACAATTGTTATTATCTCTATCTCTATACTCGTCAAGGGAATCGGGGGTCTCGCGTAACGCTCCCACGCAGACCCACCTTCCAGTGTTGGGAAAGCTGCCAGGACAAGGGGCGGGCCCAGCGAAATGAAGAGTTGCTGCCGTTCCAAATACAAGTACATAGTGCCGCAATGTGCAGAGCAGTTATTCTTTTGGCCAGTAGATTCTTTGTTTTCTCTTTGTTTTTTTTTTGTTTTTTTTTTTCAGTAGATTAGATTCTTCCTTTTTTTGCCTTTTTTGGAGAAGGGCTGGACGAAAGGGCCTCGCTGCACTACTCTCCACATGCACAAAAGACAAAAAAGATGGCAATGTATCTCTCCATTTTCTAGCAGTAGATTCAGTCTCATTTTGCACATTTGGAGAGTGGTGCAGCAAGGACCAAAGTATTGCGGTGTATCTTTCACTGTTCCAGGGGAAAATTCTCTTGGAATTTGGGCGTGGCTGCACTACTCTCCAGATGCACAAAAGACAAAAAAGCTGGCAATGTATCTTTCCATGTTTTCTAGTGGTGCATCCAGTCTTGCACATTTGAAGAGTACTGCAGCCAGGCCCTCTACCGGTTTGGTCAGCAGTGGAGAGGGCCTCGCTCCACTACTCACCACGTGCACAAACGACAAAAGAATGGAATTGCCGCGGAATTTGCCGGGTTTTTTTCTCGGCATTTCTTTTGTTTTTTTTTTGAACTTTTTCCTTGGTGAGTAGTGGAGCGAGGTCCGATCTGGCAGTGCTCTTAGGGTCTCGCTCGACTACCCGACAGGTGACGGCCTTGAGATATCATCATTGAGCTGACCGGCCCTAGGCGATTCAGTTGTAATTGGTTCCATCACCTGGATTCGAACACAGGTCTGTATGTCAACAGTTCATGGGTGTACCCACCGAGCTAGGCTCTTGGGTAGTGGACTGGCCATTTTTGTGGCGATGGGACAGCACAGCCATGTTAGTCACATGTTCGAATACAAGTACATGGCAGTGCCTTTTTTTTCTTTTGCCCTCCGACGCTGCTGCTGGTACTGGCTGTGCGGTTCTTTGCTGGGACCCTGTGTCCGGTGCCCCCCTCATGCTCCCCGCCGCATGTGTGACGGGCATCCCCTTATTATTATTGTTACAAGTGGACCCGCCGCAGCCACGCTGTGGCCAAGGAGAGGGACGAACAGGGGGGGCGCGCTGTTGTTGTCACACTGCTTGGGCATTTATTTTATTTTATTTTTTGTGTCGTCATATTCGCTATACACTTAAAGAAAACATGATTGTGGCAGATTGTTTCCGACTAATCAGGAGGTTGTGTGTGTGTGT